ATCATTGCAATATGCCGTATCTGCTGTGAACAAAATTCACAGTAATGCTCTCTAAGATCGATTATTTAGACAACTGTGTAAGAAAAACGTGACGTAAATTCAATCGCTTGCAATATACACCGAGATTCACTGACTTTCCAAAAGCTTCTGTCTCAATAGGTATTGGAATCTTTTCGACTCTGTGCTTGAGTTCCTCGAAAACAGAAATGTAGCTCTAAGAGACAGATTGCTAGAGTTTAAGAAAGACTTTGGCTGATTTATCTGTAAAATTTAAGGGCATTAATTTACAACTTCAAGGCGACGAGCTCAATTCGATCCCTACAAAATAAGTTATTTTCGTTTTTCTAAAAAAACTGATTTTGTTTTAGCAGAATTTTGGTTGGAATGAGTTCAGCCATGCAGGGAAAATTCTCTCTGATGATGCACATACACAAGAATATTGTCAACACCTTGACTCTTTGCACATGGACTTTTCTGACCATTTTAAAGATGTTTTGTTCCCTCGAAGTCCCTCAATGGGTTTATGAACCCTTTTGTAAATATTGAAACAGCAGAGGTTCAGATTTACGAGGAATTGGTCGAACTTTTAACTAATGAAACTTTGAAATGGTGATCGTCTCACAGAATTTTTACTTAACACTAAAAAGACTGAAATACCTATATTGCTCAAAAGCAGTCAAAATGACTGCATAGAATAACTAATGAATAAAGAAAGCATAACTAATGTATAAAGAAATTTGTTTAAAATAAAATTTAATATTTTTGTTATTATTTTCAGTTATATAACAAGTTATTTGTAAATATTAACAATAAAAAAATTATATGTTGTACAAAAAGTCACAAAATTCTAAGAAATTGTGTTATCATTGTTTTTCTAATTGAAATTAAAAAGCAGTCAAAATGACTTCCATGGGCAATCTAGTGTTAAAGGTAACAGTCGTCTCTATCTTGGACTGTAGACTATCGTTAAAATTTTTTTAATTGCCTTCCCTGCCTCCTAACTTGTCGAATGTGGATTCAGTGCTGTTACGGATCTTGTCACAAAAAGAAGAAATCGACTCGAAATTGTGCAAACGTGGGTATTTGCATCTTCATCTCACTAAAAGTATTGAACCGAGCGTTAAGGAATTGGTTCTGAACCATTAAGTACAATCATCCCACTAACATAGTTACTTGAATGTTTCGTTGATACTACTTTTTAGTGTAACAAAATTATTTTGGGTGTTATTTTAATTATCTAATTTAGAATAAATTATTCTTTTTAAGCATAGGTTTCTTTGTTGATTTTTTTTTCATTAAACGTATTTATTTTGATCATAACAAATAGACGGCGATTACCTGCCGTGAGAAAATTATCGAGTTAATTTATTCTTTTTTAAAAAACCAAACAAATTGAAAGCGTAAAAAAATTGCTTAAAAAATTTGCCTCTTATAATTCAGCACAAATTCCTCCGTCCCCATGCTCAAAATAACAGGATTTTTATAAAGGGGGGCGTTGAAATATTCCAATGAGGTCTACCGGTTAGAATCTCAAAGATGGCTGGTGGATGCGAACTCTGCATCCGGCTTGCACCGACAGCAGTGCTGACGTAAAATATCCTCAGTGCCAGACGGATCATGGGTTAGACCTTTGGAGGTTCTCGTGGTCTTACTCTCCATGTAACGCAAATTGCGGTTGCCATCAATAAGTCCTCCACGAAGGCAAATTTCCCCCAATACTTGATACAGGAGTTTCCTTGTCTTCTGGATTGGGTTCAAAATTAAAGGCTACATAGTTGAATATTAGTAGTCATAAAACCAAAAATTGCGTCGGCTGTTCAACGACGATTATGAAATAAAATAAAATATACTTCCTTCCGACTGATTATTGATTCCATTAGTGTTAAAGGATTCACAGACACAGCTTGACTCTGTCAGACCAGACTGGAGATTATTAACATCAACAACATAATAGTTGAGTTAAAATTACAAAGAAAACAAAAAATTATATTTTTAAGACGAGAAAAATTAGTACTAAATAAAATACTTTTTAAAAATAGTTAAAAAGATAAAAAAATTAAAAAAACGAAAAACAAAATAAGGAGAAGATATAAAATCGTCATCAGCTCACACGATTATATCCGCAAAAAAAGAGTGCTCTCTGTGATTATATATCAATATAGCGAAAGCAAAATAAATCAATAAAACAGTGTGAGTATTTACCCCACCACCGATGACCACGATAATCACCAATGTTGAACCTCGGAAATCGGTAGTTCAAAATTTCCGAGATCACTCAAATACGGTTCATATTATGATGAGAGTTAATAATATAAAATTAAGTTTCGAAGAGATTTTAATCCCCCGATCGCAGTACCAAATAAAGTTTAGAATACGACCAAAAGTAAGATTAACTATACAGATACATATAGTATCATTTAAAATGTGATAGAATCAAAATTTACTGTTATTTTCCCAAGGTCTTATAGTCTTCATTAGTCTAGAACAGTGATTCTCAACCACTGTGCCGCGGCACTTTTGTGTGTCGCCAAATTCTTAAAATGTGCAGCCAAATATTAGAAATGATACAATAAAAATTATAATGCTTTTTTTTTATGAGTAAAGTTTAAATTAAAGTATATATATATATATATATACTCTTTATAATTTTTCCACGCCTTAACCGCGTGAACGTCGGCGATTGTCTTGTCTCTGACAATCTTAAAATAAGGTGGAAGTGTTTAAATTGTATATGACACACAATTTTAAAAAATTTTGTAAGAGCTAATCATTAAAGTAAGCTATGCAATTAATAAACAAATTAACAAAGGATAACTAACAAAAATTAAGCTAATAATTAATAATTAGCAAAAAAAACTAGTTAACTAGTAGCAAGAAATCACAAACAAATAACAGTTAATGTTTAAAAAAAAAACAGTTAATAACTATAGAAAACAAGCTAACAATTAATAACTAGCAAAAAATAAATAACTGTTACTAACTAATAAAAAATTGGTCGAAAAAAATAATTAATCCCTTAATAAATGTGCTTTTTTAGTACACATTATTTTATTTCACATTCAAAATTATTGTCACAAACTATTTAACACAATGTAAAATAGGTAATAAAATAACTTTCAATCTAATTTTTTTCATTGTGTGCCGTCAAATTTCGAAATCGTTAAAAGTGTGCCGCAACAAAAAAACGGTCTAATAGATAGATAGCTTTTTTAGTTTTTTTATAGCTTCATTAGTAATTTTGTCTAGTTTTCAGTAATTAATTTTATAGAAACACGCTTTAAGAGAGTAAGTATCAATATAAGAAACACGTGGTAGTAAGTATCAATATATGCCTTTTAAAATCCGAATTTTGGGACGTCGTGAAATTATTTATAATACATCGTGAAATCATTAAAGTTGATTTTACTTGTGACAACCTATCATAAAAAAACCAAACGATAAATAATTCATAAGAACATCTGATGAAATTAATTTTTGATTAGTTTGAGCTGCAAGCTAGCAAATCGCTCTATTGTAAATATATGGCAAAACCCACGGAAAATTTTTTCTTCGTGACATACGGTATGATCGGAAATTTTAAAACTTAGAGTTAGGTCCGTCGTTTCTTCGAACGAATATAAAACAAATCCGGTGCGGATCGATTTAGAATGACGGATTTGTATAAGATACGTACAATGCTTAAAAAAATAAATAAATGGGGAAAAAATGAAATAAATAACTTTTGATCTTATGATCTATTCTTTACGTTCTAGGATTCCATCTCAAATATGCTAATTAATTAGAACAGACGATATTTTAAGGCACGAAATCATATACAAAAGCGTACTTTCTCTGAATAAATATAGCTTATTTTTGATAGATTCTGATCCCCAAAATATAGGGCGTGAATGTAATCTTCGAAATATGGTTCCAAAAATTTGTCAGGAGAGCGGTCCAAATTTTGGACCCCCTTTTGTTAATTTTATTATTATTATTATTATTTTGTATTTCCTCATATCTTGAGATTTTTTGAATCGAACTGAAACATTTTTACACTCAATTATAAAAATCTTTTATCCAAAGATATTCCATGCAAAATATACTTTTTAGTAAATTTGTATTATTCCTTATTATTTCATTTAAAAATACTCAAAAAAATTTATAAAAATATTGTAAGTAATACAATTTTTACGTCATTTTAAAGAATGCAATTTTAGGTGAAAAAGTATAATATCTGAGTTAAATCAGTCGAATAGTTCAAAAGAAATCAAAATTTTAAAAAATAATATTTTTTTAAAAAAATTCGTCATTTACGTGCATAATGTAAGCAACTGCTTTCTTTACAATTCAAAATGTATTCGTCTATTTTTAAATAAAATAATAAAAAATATACTTTATAAAATATTACTAAAATTTATTTGCTTACATGGAATTATCTTTGGATTAACGAATTTCAGATTTGTGTGCGAACTTCTTTCAATTAGCTTAAGAAGTTCTCGAGATATGATTAAATACGCGTAAATTAAAATTAATATTAAGGGGTACAAACTTTGGACCGCTCATCTGATCAAACTATTGGGACCATATTTCTCAGGTAACGGCTACTTGATCGAAAAAGACGGTATGTTTATTCAGAGAAAGTATGCTTTTGTGTCTGATTTTCGTAACTTAAAATATCACATGCTTTAATTAATTAGCATATTTGAGGTAACCCCCTCGAACCATTTCGATTGAATCCTAGAACGTGAAGATCCGAACATTAGATCAAAAGTTATACGGGGTGGTGCGTTTTTTTTTTTTTTTTTTTTTTTNTTTTTTTTTTTTTTTTTTTTTTTTTTTTTTTTTGCGCACTGTACACATACAAGCATTCTGCTTTATTTATATAGATTATGACGCATATGTCAAGATAAAACAAATTTCAACTCATTCAGAATAACCGTTTGTTGCCTAGCTGTTTTATTTCAATCAGATGCAACTAACAGTTGTTCACAATTCGTAAACATAAAATAATACATAATTACCTTTCAACGTCCTTATGAATAAGTCTTGTCTTTTAGAAAAACCGGTAAAAAAGGGAAGGAAAATGAATCTTGAGTTAGAAAAAATGACACAAAAAGAGTGAAATGCTTTAATATGACACCAACTGAAGTGCCTGTTTGACAGGCAATGAAATCTCGTATCAATGGTTACAAAGGTTATGCCGATCCCACCAATGAATGACAGGTTCGATCCTTTTTTGATAAATAAATAAAAGATTGCCGGATTCAAAGAGGTTTGGTAAACATTTGACGCATCGAGTCACTATTTGTGCGCAGTTAAATACACATGGAAATTGTTGTCCTGTCGGATGAATACGATTAGTTCATTTAAAATTATTTTTACCCGCTTGTCACTTCCAAAGAAAAAAATACAGTTCGTTACGAAATATCGTTTTCGATTCTATCGACGCTATGTTATTTTAACGCTATTAGTTTCAGTTTTTTTCTTCCACGAAATTCACTATAACTAATGTTACAAATTTTAAAAAAAGAAAGCTTCCATTGATTTATTTGATAGCAAAAAATTTATAGATATAATACAATTGTTGTCCCGACCGATGAATGCGATTACTTAATTCAAAATAATTTTTTCCCACTTGTCGTTTCCAAAGAAAAAAATACAGTTCGTTACGAAATATCGTTTTCTATTCTATCGACGCTATTAGTTTCATTTTTTTTTCTTCCAAGAAATTCATTATAATAACTGATGTAACAAATTTAAAAAAAAGAAAGCTTCCATTGATTTATTTGATAGCAAAAAATTTATAGACATAATACAATCCATTATTTAAATCACTATTATATTGACTTACAGTGAGCAATAAGTAAAACAAATAAATAAAAATATAGGAACATCCAGAGTAACTCTTTTAAGTGATTAAGTTGCAAAATTAGTCGCAACGTTTTTTTGTTTTTTTTTGGTTAATGGCGGGCACTTGGGTCTATTTCCCATAGGCCTCAGAAATGCGAGAATTGCTACTCTCTTATCGTTACCCAGTGTGTACCTATGGTAAAGCCCGGCTGTGGAGTAGCGTCGCCCACGTCATACGACCACAAACCCGTTTATAGGGCGGGTTACATTCACACAGAAGAAAGGGCATAGAACACAGAGAGAGAGAAAGAAACATCCATGTCCTAAGCGGAATTCGAACCCGCAAACATCGGCTCCGCAGTCAGGCGCGCTAACCACTCGGCCACCTAGTCGCCCCAGTCACAACGTACTTTCTCTGAATAAAAGCCATTCTCTGAATTCCCGCGGGTGTGGATTCCTGATCCTCAAAATAAGGGAGGGGGTCAGGAATCTACAAATAAGACTGGGTACGGCGCAATCAACCCTGGTCCATTCCGCCCTCAACCAGGACCGCCTCGAAAGGAGAAATTGGGCGAGTCGGCCCTGTTTTAACTTTGGAGTCTAATATAGTTCGTCTATGTAAAGAACTTCCCTAGCCATTATTCTGGAGTAGTGGGGTTCATTATGGTTACGAGGTTTAACTATTTCAAGAACTCAAGTACCCCACCAGAGGAAATATTTATACGCGAAATAGGGGGTAAACAATATGGTCCTATAGGTTACTATCAATGCATATATATAAAAACGTTAAAATGAGAAAATTCGCAGTCAATATTAGGTATTACAACATGACCCTATATCTCTCAATATTGATCCATAGTAATCAAATTGGACCACATATTATATTACCGGGTACCAGTGTACCAAAGGAAATAATTATAGGCTAATTAGGGGGAACACAATGTGGTCCTATATGTTACAATGTTAGTATATATATATATGTGTGTGTGTGTGTGTGCTGAATAGCGTTAAAACGAGGAAATCTCTTTGAAATGCGCTTTTTCTTCCTTCCGTAGCAGCAAACAGCTTTAGACATCGTGGAGAGGGGAATTTTTTCTATAGACAAACTATATCTCCTCATAGGTTCTCCCACACCTGCACCCCCTCTTACATTCAATATGGACTGCTTGTGAAGCAGACTAACGAGATGTGAAACCAAATATAGCAAGGTGAAATGGAATGATATTTCATAGGAAATGTTTCTTTTCTTAACATGATGGTCGCCTTCTTATGAATGTCGGGTAAAAAAAATTTTCTTTAATGATTTGTAGTTAATAAAATGTTACAAGTTAGCACGTGTAGAGGGGAAAAAAATAGCTAAAAATGGCTACCTGTCAAAATATTTGTACTGTGCGCAAAATAAAAAAGACAACAACATGAATAAATATATATGATCAGAATAACCATGTATCATGAATAAATATATCGTTATAATGATCAGATTTTCACATCACTCGTAATGGTTCCTGAGGGTGACTTCGAATATAACTAATAATTAAGTTACAAAATCAGATGCGAAAACGTACTTCTTTTGAATAAACAAACATGGTTATTCACAATTCCCTCCGCCTGTAAACTCCATTTTTCTTTACTACAATTGGCTTCAGTGGTACATGTTACTGCCATCTACCGGCAACAATTAAAACTTGAATACTTTCGGAATAATTTCATATGTTCTTTTCTGCCATATTCGTCTTCGTTTTTTTACTATAACGCTTCAAAACCTCAGAGGGAATTATGAATAACCCTGATATATATATCGCCCTCACAAATGAGTAATTTAAAAATATCCATAAGCAAATGCAGGAGAGTAATACCTATTTTTACTCCGTTGCCAAGCAACCAAGTTCAGACAATGAAAAAATGTTCTGTCATCGTTAATCGGAGAGGTTTATTTATTAATAGGTAATAGAAAATGTTTCGAAGTTTTCAGGCAATAGACATTTTCTTAGCTGATTTCTGATCAAAAAGCTAAGATTTTTTTTTTTTTAAAATCTTCTTTGAAATTCTTCTTTTTTAATTTTCTTTGAAGAAAATTTGAATCGATTTATATATTAAGATTTTCTAAGCTTTTAGAATGTAGACATAGAAACTTTTCATCTGACATTTTTTGCGTTTTTTTGTTGTTTTTACATCCTTTATACGAGGATTTCATACTAAAATTAAATTTGCATACATAATTTTATATTCACGTGGTCCTTCAAAAAAACTAAGAGAACTGAAGTATCAATATTGTAACTATAAAATTATCTTTAACTTTAAAATTAAATTTTGAAACCGGATGTTTGGAGTCAATGAAATTGAACATTTTATCTTTTAAGTTTTGTTGCCGCCATTTTAGTATCTTAAGGAACTTACGAACTCTGTTTAAAAGGTGAGTATCTTATCAGGTATATACATAGTGAGTGACAATCGTAAAATAAGTGTGCAAATTAAGGAAGGAAAAAAAAAAAACTAAGAAATCATAATAGTGATATTTGGTGATAAATGTAGCTGATTGTAGTTGAAGAACATGTTGAGCGACATTTTATGGTATGATTTTATGGTGATAAATGTAACTGATTGTAGTTGAAGAACATGTTGAGCGACATTTTATGGTGTCCGACATTCCTTGGAAAATATGGAGATCAACCGAGTTAAATTAATATGTAAGAGGTGAAGCTTCTTAAAATTTACATTGAAAGATAATAAAAGTAATCACACATGGATGCGAATTTATTTTTTAAATTACATACATTCTTCAAAAATAAATGAATAAATAAAATAAAAAAAGAGAATTTTAGTTATTAATCTCAAACAATGATGGGATAGCTGAATTGATTACTCAAAATTAAGATTATGACACTGAATAAAATCAATTTTTATAGTCCAGTGATTTATACATAAGTCGGTAAAAAGTCGCACTTTTTTACATTTTCACTGAAAAAGTACTTACATTCAAAGTAATAACGAATAAAAGATACTTTTTAAAATTACAAAATTAAAGCAAATAAAATGACACTTCTGTTATTACTCTTAAATTATGATGGAAATTTAGTTTCTTCACTAAAATGGAAAACCATTTATCACTTATTACGACAAAGTAATAAATTGTTAATGCCTCCTTTGAAATAAGAATTCGGCAGAAGATAAAATCATCTTTCAGTAGACCTCAAGCAAAGTAAACAAATTGCACTTGCCTTCGAGTGTGTGACTGCTTGTAGTTTGTCGGTAGAATCATCGGAAACGGTTGATGAAATGCTTGGAACAGGCTAAAATTTCAAGATACTTCAACCAAGAAATTAATAAATCGATCCTTGGCAGCTGTTTTCAATCAATCTTGAAGAAATCTGTAATTGTATAGTTGCCCAAGAAGCAATAACTACACTGGTGGACAAAATTAAGAGATGGATGACATTTCCCCAATTATCTAAGAAAATACTGAACATAAATAAATGAAATTTGGTATGGATATAGCTTATTCCATGATAATAAAGTATGCAAAACAAAAATGAAAGTGCTATTCACTGGCAAGACCTATTGCCAATAAACCCAATGTAGTCTGAACTTAAGGATAAAAGAGGACAATAAAAGTGAGGCTTGTACAGTGTGTGTTGCCTCTAGTATGGTGTATGGTCACCCCTGACAGACAGACAGCATGCTGTTAATAAGGGAGTTAAGGAGGACTCGTGGAAGATCCTCCCATTCTTCCACCAGAGCAATTTTTAACTCCAGAATGGTTCTGGGGGGAGGTTGGCGCATCGCAATAGCTCTCCTAAGAGCATCCTAAGCATGTTCAATAGGATTCAGGTCAGGGGATTTGACTGGCCAATCCATTCGTTAAATATCTTCGCTTTCTAGATACTCATCAACCATGAGAGCCCTATGTGGTCGCGCATTGTCATCCATAAAAATGAACTCAGGGCCAGCAGCGCCCCTGAAAAGACGCACATAGGGCTCTAGGACATCCTGCTTGTACCTCTGGGCGTTCACGGAACCATTGTCAAACACATGGAGCGGTGTGCGGGTATCTTGCATGTGCGAAAATGCTTTCCATCTCTTAATTTTGTCCACCAGTGTAGATAGAAATCGATAAGATAGTCAGTGCTCAGAAATATATGCGTACAACGGTTGCAGAGAAAACAGGATTTATAATTCCTTGCATTCCTCAGGCGAAAATAACGTTTCTACTAAAAGAATTAGTACCCCTTTTCCATTAATTTTGCTTTTGAATACATATTTTTTTTTCCTATTCCATTACCGTTGATATGCAATTTGACGGAAACGTGTTTAAAAGAATTAATAGGTCTAGAGAGAAACAAAAGAAACAATGAAAAATAAAAATTATGAAAAAATACGACAACCAAAGCTGACGTCTTCAGGGGGTACCAGCTCCGGAAGCCATAAATGCTAAACCTTTTATATCGAGAGAGCACGTCAAATGTCTAAATTGCTCTCCCTGAACCCCAAAGGTCTTGCCA